ACTAAATATCTTTAGTTGTCGAAACTAATCCTTTTTCTCAGTGTAATTATATAAAAAGTATGCAACNAACCAATCGATGGTAATAGTTCCCAATCCTTGGTAACAGTTCCCAAATATTGTCGAAATTCGGGAACTAAATATCTTTAGTTGTCGAAACTAATCCTTTTTCTCAGTGTAATTATATAAAAAGTATGCAACGAAATTTATAATATATTTAAAGATAACTACGAACAATAAATCGGGAACGGAAAGTTCATCAAAAATGTACCAAAATGAGAAAAAATTTACCTTTTTACCAACCCAAATTTTTTCTACCAATTTTGGTAACAATTTACCAAAGCGGCAACCCTGGTTGCATGTATTTGTGTACATATCTCTGAGTCTTACACTCCGACTATCTCTGGCAATGTCTTTGCTCTGTACTTAATTAGCCTCAGATATATTTGGACATACATATGTATGTTTGTACCTACCCTGCAGTGAACAGCCAAACCGGTTAGAAAAAATACTAGTTCATTAACTAGTATGTGCCTACCAGTTCGACAATTGCGAAAAACTTAAGCGTTCAGCGACAACTGACATAAGAAAGATAATAAAAAACATTTCTTTTTTATTTATTTAAAAATTACAAAAAAACCCTAAATAAAAAAATTATCAAAAAATAAATGAATTAAAAAAAAATTAGAATAAACAAAAATTTTCCCTACGCCAAGACTTGAACCTGGGACCTCAGGCATTCCACGCGAGTGCTTTGCTCTGTTGGCCATTGCGACTGTTGGAGCGCGCTGCGAGCAAAAAGGTATACTTATGTTTTTCACAAGGGATGAGTTGGCAGACTATCCCGTCAACTAATGCACAGCCTGCCAATTGACATCTCGAAGGACATCGCCATGTTAAAAATACCAGTCGTTGACATTTAAAAAGGATAGAACGTGAACTAGTTGGGCTGAAACGCAAACTGGTAGAATTCTCACAATTCACAACTAGTAGCTTTCCCTGCAGGGTTCTTTTCTACTGAGAGATACTCAACCATGTGTTCTGGTGGCACGATTGCGCATCTCTTCGATCGCTGTTTGACGTGGTTAATCGTCTCAGCATTTCAGTGCTACGACGAATTTCAACGACGTTTAACGTTCCGTTTCTTCGGTGAGTGGTGGTGCTATCTACCTGCATATATGTACACATAAGTATATATGTATGTATATACACACCCCGTGTACCTCTGCCCCAACTAATTGTAATTGTTTTGTGTGATCGACAAGAAAAACGCCGCCATGCATTCGGCGATCAGTACACTGTAATATGTACTTGTCTTTGGAGAAATAAGCGTGGAGCACATGCATGCGTAAGAAAATGCATTTTTGGGCCCCGAGAAGTGAATACACAATTTAAAAAAAAAAAGTGTTTAGATGAAGTTCTAATTTGTAATACCTGCCATATCTTATAATAAAACAACAGCGGCCAATCGGTCGCAATTGATTAACGTCCGTAAAAATCCGAAATCGAAATCTGGATCGAAGGTATATAGTACATACGTAGTATGTATGTATGTAGTATAATTCAAAGTAAATAACTAAAGTGGAAAGAAACAATAAATGAATGTGAAATTTTAAATGTGTTGGAAATGAAATATGTAGATTCATTAGGGTGGTTCAAAAATACAAAGAAAAATCTACTTTTTAGCTTTTTCTTGCACAGAATTATAGAAAATGGAAAATAACGAGACCGGTATTAGTTAATAAAATTTTAAAGCTAAATAAGCATTATAAATTTATTGTTTGATACGACCAAAAAATATCGTTGGCTTAGTGCGCAAACGTGCTAAGTCAAAAAAAAAGCAAGAAAAAGGTACATATAAACACGTCTGTTCATGTACAAGATAACTCGAGAAAAAATTGAGAAATCTCAACGAAATTTCGTATGTAGGGTTGCCCTTTATCCAAGGTAGGTTGGTATTGAAAATGGGCGTAATTTGGACTTTAACCACGCCCACTTCCCATATACCTAAAAGTATTTTCGAAAAATTTTCCGTGCGCCAGTAAATGTTGGATGCAAATTGTTGAAAATTAGTGTGTGAAGTAGAATTTTGGTAAAAAATATTATTATGAATTTTTTGCAAAATGGGCGTGGCCCGCCCACATATGATGAAATGCTGTATCTCAGTAGACCATTCACCGATCCTTACCAAACTAGGTACGACCCTTGCCTAGGGTCTAGCTAAGAAATCTGTTGAAAATCTTAGAAATCGGGCCATGACTACGCGCGTCTAGTTATAACGCGATGTTTACAGAAACACGAAAACTGCGATAAATCAATAACTACTTAAACTGATTTACTTAAAATCGATGATTGCGATAATAAATAAAATTTTTGGATAATGGGCATGGCGACGCCCGCTTATGACCACAAATGTGTAACTCGGTAACCGATTTATCAATTTCTACCAAACTCGGTGCACTTAATAACCTTGGAACGGAAAATCAATTCATTGAAAATTATTCAAATAGAACCAAAATAACACCCGTTTCCCGTATATCTAACGGTAAATTTCAGAAATACGGAAACTGATATTTCAATAACCGAGGACGCTAATTTACTCCAAGTTCATACTTACAACAATCTCCTAACAATAAATAAAAGCATAAACAGACGGCAGCGTTGATCCGTATCAACTCGGGAATTAACTGCAGTTGATCCGGATTAAGTCCGAGTTAGTTTTATAATACTTTATAATAGTTTTATAATACTTTATAATAATAGACTTCTCGTTGATTTTTGGAAATTTTTTGTTATGGAGAAAATCAGCAACACCTTCCACAAAAAAGGTACCAAAAATCGGTAAGTCCTAGCTACCTAAAATTTGAACTTCGTATAATAAAATTGAATGGGCTACAAAGCTGCATACTCAGAATATTTAAAAAAAATCGAATTAAAAGCTGTCGAATTTTGATAATTTTTGTACAAAGTTTGAAATTTTTACTTACGTGGTTTTTGTTAGATAACGAGCTACACTTTAATAAAAAAAAATAATAAACATTAAATAAACGAAAGGGAAATAGCCAATGAATGCTAAAATGTCTATTCCGTATTTATATTTTCGTCACTGTATGTGTGGTACGATTTTCCTTGAATTAATCGCTGAATTCCTAATCTTTCGGGTTCTTTTCACTGGATTGTTAAATTATTTACAAATAAGTGAATAGAATCTTGGATTAGTATTGCTTCTGTGAGGTTATTTAGTTATTTGTTTAAGTTTTTCTTTTATCATTGTTAAAATGTATTAAACGCATTTGTTCTTGAATGAATTTATATTCAGGTAGTTTTTTTATGGAATCGGCATCGGCATCGGCCAAAAATTCTTCTCTTCTACTTCTGGTAGATCCCAACTAGTGGAAGCCTGTAGGAGAGAACTGGCCTATATCTCTGATCAAAACGAAATTACCCTAATATGGTTCCTATGACACAGGGACATTTACGGAAACGTGGCAGTGGACGAACTAGCAAGGTGCGGCTCCGGACTGAATGTGTCACACGCGGTGGACAAGTCCAATTTTCAAATTTGAAAAAAGACGGATCCAATATGGCAGACGTATTTTTAAAACTTCCTTGTATTCACTTGAAACTTGTTACTTGCGGGGTTTTGGGGTCGCTTGTTACGTATCTGAAGTCCGATATGCAAAATTAAAAATGTCGGATCCAATATTGCGGCCAAAAAATATTAAAAGCATTTAGCTTCGCTTAAAACTTTACAGGCGGGGCGAATCTGGAATCAGATTTTAAAAACTCAAAACTTCGGATCAATACTGGACCTACCATATATCACGCGAAAGTTAAATTCGAACGTACGTACATGGCGTATGAGCAACATTATCAACCCTACTGAGTAACTCATACGCCATGTACCGTTTACCTTGTACATTGATTTTAACTTTCCTGTAATAATTGAACTTATTATTTATTAATTAATTATTTTGAGAATTCTCCGAAAATTTATGTATGTACGAATGTCTCTCCTTGCTGCTATAAAAGTGGCAAAGGGTGAGGTCTCCTTGAATTATTTAGAGAGCCTTTAGAACTCTTCCGGAAACAAGCTTTTTCCATACACTCATACGAATTCGAATTGTCTGTTGGTGCGGGACAAAACTTTCCATTTCCATGGAATGCTCGATCTACATGTAAGTCCTGTTCTGAAAGCAAAACAATCTACCTCTTTGGGTCAAGTACGGGATATACGAGTATTTTCTCAATTCCCGGTTTTGATTTTTTTTTTTAATTTCATGTTAAATATTTGGAAATCTATTTGCTATTTGCAGTTTCTACGTCCCCTCGGGAGCAGTATACTTAAGGAAAGAAACGAAAATGATGATGCAAAATTCAGTGACGAAACGTAAAACGTTGATCTTCGCCTTCTTCGGCATAGCCTTGGGACTTTGCATTGGCACCGTTCTCAAAAATTATCGCGCACTTGAGATCGTCAAACGTTGCAGCATGAAACCGAGTAGTCAGCAGTCACCTTTCGAAATTATTGGCATGAATCCGGAGGAGGAAACGATAAGAAACTCTCAGCGAAATCTTGTATTCGTCGGGATTATGACAGCGAAGAATTTCATCGATGGGCGTGCCCGAGCCGTTTACGATACTTGGGGTAAAGAAGTACCTGGTCGTATAGCGTTCTTCAGTTCGGAAGGCTCTTACTCGAAGGATTTGCCGGTAATAGGTTTAAAGAACGTTGACGATCGATATCCGCCACAAAAGAAATCATTTATGATGCTCTATTATATGTATGAACACTATATTGACAAATTTGAATGGTTCATACGCGCCGATGATGACGTCTACATCGAACCAGAGAAACTGGAACGCTTTTTACGTTCGATCGACAGTTCCAAGCCGCAATTCATAGGTGCCCATTTTACTCGTATAATAGAAGAAGGTGCCGAGCCTGACTTACGAATTCCTAATATTTATAGGTCAAGCTGGTAAGGGCAATAGTGAAGAGTTTGGCCTACTATCGCTGGAGTTTGATGAGAATTTTTGCATGGGCGGACCTGGTGTAATATTGAGTAGCGAGACCCTGCGCCGAGGTGAGTTCTGCATTCAACTAGCAGTTTAAGTTATAAAGTGATTGGTGTACGATATATTGACTTTATATGTAGTTGCTCCGCACATACCTACGTGCTTGAAGAATCTATATAGCACACATGAAGACGTGGAGGTGGGACGTTGCGTGCAAAAATTTGCTGGCATACCGTGTACCTGGAATTATGAGGTAATAAATATAATACTAAAAGGCTCAAACTGGGACTAAATACATACATATGTATGTATGTTCATTGGTTTTAAAAAATTCAAAAAAGAAAACCGAAAGGGCCAAATGATTGTAGTTTTGTATTTTCTATACAATCACTTTTTCTTTGTTCATTTTGTTTTTTTTTTTCAGATGCAATATATTCTGAGACATAACTCAAGTGGCCCATACGCATTCACTGGTAAATTAAAACATAAGGAAATACACAACGCTATCTCTCTTCATCCGATCAAGCAATCACCGCTGATGTATCGCCTGCATTCCTTCGTACAGGTGGTCTTGAACTTAGGAGACTTAGAGAATTGGCTAGTTCTGTAACGAATATTTGCTCATTTTAGGGCCTTAAAGCAGAGGAAATGCGGCAAGAGTCACTCGAGTTACATCGAGATATTAAGCGCATGGCTAGTTTTTTGGAAATACCGAGCGATAGCAAGTATTTGGTACCTGGCATTGAGTTAATACCCGAAAAGACTAACAGCGATCAGCACTACGAAGATCATAACATTTTAGGTGAGACCCCATCCACACATACATAATTAAAAAAGAAGGCAAATGTATAATACTTGCCTTTGCATAGGCATTGCTCCGGATCTGAAGAAATCGAGGCCTTCGTCAACAGCTGATCTCCTCGAATGGTCGTTCATTGCTCGAAGTCTCTACTCCAGTGAAAATGCGAACCCAAAACACAAAATCGATTCGGCGTTGCGCGAGGGCCTCGAAGACGTTATCACAGAAGTTATGGAGAATATAAATAATTATTCCCGACAAAGGGGTCGCGTTATTGAATTTCGGGAACTACTTTACGGCTACAATCGATTGAATCCTCTGCATGGACAAGATTTAATACTCGATCTCTTGTTGATCTATAAACGGTATCGAGGCAAAAAGATGACTGTACCAGTGCGTCGTCATTTGTATGTGCAACGCGCTTTCACTGGTACTTTTGTGAAGGAATTCAACGAGGACTTCTACAACTACACGCTACAAACAAGTGGGTGAAAAATATTTGTGGATCGAATAAATATGTATATTTTAGAGTTATGACAAGTATAGTATTTATAAAATAGTAAGTATACTCTATAAATTGACGAAGCTATGTTAATAGCCTGGGCTCCAAATCGTAACACAAACCGTTCACGGATCGAAAATCATACGAAAGAAAATTACGTGATACCGTGAGCCGTTCAAGCCGAATGGGATAAAGAGTACGTTCACGTATGTCATAATCCGAAAAATGTGTTTTTACGTGACGAGTAGGACGATATCGTATGTATCGACGATTCTAGCCCTGATTTCAATGCAGTATTCAAATCAAGGAGTGCGTCCTAAACATTGTTTAAGTAGTAGGCAATAGGGCTTATACTGGGTTAGTAATGGTGGTGATAAAATCTCGGTTAATGTAGTTGATCGACTGTACGTAGCGATTACGCTTCCAAACGTTTTCTGACTGGGTGCTCGCGTTGGTATCACCACAAAACATCAATAGCTGTTCAGACTGCTGTGCTGTGACATTCTTTGTATTTACAATTGCGGATGTGTGCGCGGAGCAAGAGAGCAAGCAGATTGTAAAAAGTAGCCCCTAGAATTTAAGTTATTTTCACAATCGGTATTTTTCGCCCAAGTAACAAAGATAATTGCCGAGCTTTCCGTGGGGAAGAAGTTTAGACTCCTTACTATGAAGAATCGCGCTGAATCAGAGTAAAGGAACAGAAGTGGTCAATGACATTGCCGGATGTCAATATCGCACAATCGTCAGCGTATGAGATCTCAGTGGTTAAGGTTTCTCTATTGGGCGATATTTAGGTGACATATGAAATATATATTTAAACATTTCCCAATTTAATGTTTAATAGCCACTCATTAGCTTTATGTACTTATGCTTATTGTTACATTATATTTTCAGGCTATCTCAACCACATGCTGAGCTCAGGAATCGAGCGATTTTCAAAACATTTTACACTGCCCGGTTTGCCAGCCTCTACTGAAACGGCGAAAATCGTATTTATCCTACCCATCGCCGGGCGTTATGCCACATTCCAGCGTTTTTTGACCACCTATGAACGTATAGCAATTGAACAGGATACGAATTGCGATTTACTGGTGGTCGTCTTCGGCAACAGCACCAGTGTTCAAGCACACTTACAACTCTTGCTGGATTTGCGTAAGCGTCACATTTACGAACACATAAACTACATACAACGGAATGAAGAATTTTCGCGTGGCGTGGCCTTAGATGTGGCCGCACGTTCATCTTATATACAAGCCGATGACATAATGCTCTTCATCGACGTCGATATGGTATTTCAATTGGAAACGTTGCAGCGCATCAGACTCAATACGGTTCAAGGGCGACAAGTATATTTGCCAATCGTGTTTAGCCAGTATGACCCTAAGAGACGTTGGACAGGCCCAAATGTTGAGAATGCATTTACAGCACCTGACGAAATTACCAATGAATCTGGCTACTTTCGTCAATTTGGATATGGCATTTGCGCAATCTATAAATCGGACATCCTCGATGAGGACATAAATGGATTTGATAAAGATATCAGGGATGGGGATTAGAGGATGTAAATTCTTGATAAAATTGTTAAGGTTGGTAACCGCCGAAACGATTTCCTAGTCAACACTGCCGAGGTTCCACCCAATACAATGAGGCAGCGAAAAAAATGAGGCAACTCAGTATATTCCGCGCCCCAGATCCGACATTAGTGCACATATTTCATGATATTAGTTGCGATGTCAAACTTGATGGCCCGCAATATAATATGTGTCTAGGGACGAAAGCAAACTCGCTGGGTAGCACGCAATTTATGGAGCAATTATTTTATAGCAATAGGGAGAATATAGATTTCATTTTAGAATTGAATCGCAGAAAGGAGCAAAGCTGAGGTGACATGGAACCAGTCAAAAATTTAGAAATACTTAAAAAAAATATATTTTAGGCACCCGTTAAAAAAACTAAATCGCGTTCTTCTTACCTTCAAGAAAATAATTTTTTTGGTATTAAATATTTGTTTTAACCAACATGACTCAACTATTCGAAGTTTTTTCCCAACTGAGTATAATCGGCCAAGTGTACCAACATTTTTCAATGGTCGAATTATTTCCATACAAAATGCGTAATTTAGATCATGAAAAGTTAGATAAAAAAAAAAATAAATAATAAAGTCGTCATCACTTTTAAAGAGCTTTAGATTTATAGTACAAAAATAAAAAAACTTTGGATAAATTTCCAAAACTAGTGA